AACTCACTTAAACTTTTGATCATAAAAAAAAGAAATACTTAAAGGTTGCCTATTAATTGGATTTTTAGATTGGCAGTGAGGTTTAGGATTTATGTCATTACAAGACATGAATGAATCAAATTCTTAAAACTGAACCAACTTGGCTTTTTCCCTCTAACTTTAGTCTATATCTCGTCTCACTAAAATATTCAAGTATTAATTAATTAGAGGTAAAAGTGTTTTAAAAACAAAACGCTTCTGATTATCACTTATAAATGCACCTTTTTGAAGATCTCTATAAGAAGCTTATAGCTCATTTTCTCTGGAAATCCTTCTCTACCTGTGATTAGGTTTCTCATAATCCTTATACAAATAATTCAGTATGTAGTGATGAAAGAAAACATGAGTTATCCTGATGATGTGTATCCTTATCTTCCATCTTCTCCCAATCAGCAAGGTAATACTTTAATATCTGCAAAAATGGTTGTGTTAATTTATAAGCATAAGGTAACTAGTGGGGATGTGTTTCATAAATGATATTTAATTTTATTTTAAAATTTATGAAAATTTTCATAAATGGAGTCATACAATATGTATCATCATTAATTGTTATGTTGAATATTCAATGGGCTGGTTATTCAATCTCTGTTGAGAAAGGTGCTTATATTTAGTACCAAATCATGCTTCAAATATAATTATCTCAAATAGAAAAATATCTATGAGCAATTAAAAAACGTTATAGTTCCAAGAAAGATTCTCTCTTAGAGAAAATCTTGACTCTAGGAGGGTTTATCTTTGCTGAAGGTGTACTTCTTTCCTTGTGTTGATTTTTCTGTTTGGTTGCATTTGAGTTAGTGAAATAGCCTAAGCATTTTGTTAGGACTCACTAATTTTTATAATCCTCTAATATTTCCTCTAATTTTTGTGTATCACAATAACTAAAACTACTTGGTTATATAGGACTTACCACAATTTTTTCTGTCACTCATTTTTTTTTGGGGTAGAAATTTAGAAATTGTGTTGTTAAATTCAAAAATCATTTTGTATTTGGCTCTTTTTTTGTTGGGTTAATTGTTTATTCATTTACTTTTGCTTGTAAGTAATATTCATTTTTAGATCAGAATGTGTACGTTGGAACTCCGCAGCAGAGTAATGTTCCTGTTGTGTACGTCCAAGCTCCTCCCCCAGCAATAGTTCACAATCATCAGACTGTTTATACTGGAGCTACATATGCTGAACAATCATCATCATCATCCTGTTGTTGCTGGTAAGTTAATTTCTTGTTTATAAACTAGGCAAAGAAAGAGGCTCATGGTTTATAAATATATGTGATTATTTGAGATTTTATTCTTTATATGGATAATATATTTTTCATTGAAATGCTAATTAGTATAACTAGGGACAATGACAATAAAGTCTCAACAGAAAACTAAAAACAATTATGTTACTGATGAAATTTTTTGAAAAATAAATTGCAAATAATATTGATTCATATAGTTGTGATAGGAATCTCAATTAGAACTATATTACTCTCTTCGTCCTAAATTATAAGACACTTTTAGACAAAATCTCACATACCAGTAAACCTCATTAAATATACTTAACAACCTTATCTTTATAAAACAAAAATATAAACTTTTAAAAATACTCATCATTTAATATATTGAAAAGAGAAGGGATGAAAATTAATTATAAAGAGAGAAAGGATAATATTGAAATTGATACATTTAATGAAACATTAATCTATTCAAAATGTCTTATATTTTGAGATTAATAACTCCTTTAAAAATGCCCTATAATTTGAAATGTGGTGGTACTTTGCAACTATTCGAATCAAGCTACTGAAAATTGACTAGTTACTAAACCAATCAAGACTGTGGTTTAAAAGTAATCAGTGGTCTAAACATGGATAAACTCGAAGTCATATTGGTCTAATTTAAATTTACAAAATATTCAAATATTTAACTATGAAAAGCATTGATATTCAAATAAAAAAATCTTTTATTCTCAAGTAAATGAAATTTCCATCCATAAAATCTTATACATGTCTTATGAAAATATTAATTATAAGTTTCTAATAATAATAAAATAAAAACATTAAAAATATTATTTAAGGGGTTTATATTTGATTTAGGGTTCAATATTTAGAAGAAAAAATGGGGAGAAGAAAAAGGAAAAAAATGATAATAAAAGTGACATTTCGGTTAATATAATATTAAACGGAGGGAGTACAATTTTTTAAGAGATTAAAGTTTAATCTAATTTTATCATATTTATGTTGGTCATTTATGTCAATTGATTTAATAACTAATGTTAAAATTTTGACTGGTGATATTACTGTAAATGAATTGAAAAACTTTGCAATGGTTTTAAACTTTGCTGTTGCTTGGTTTCAGCTGCATTCTTCGGTGCTTTTGCTTCTTCCTCGTACTGATCTTCATCATCGTTATTGTGATCGAAGTGATACAGAACCGACAGAGAAAATGAGGAGCTAGCAAGAGAGAACATCATGTTGTTTCTGAAACCAGAACGAGAAAAGCCTTTTTGAATGTCGGCTACCCACTTGATAATGCTCAAATTTGATTCGAATTCATAGTATTGGTTAATGTCAGATAGCTATATTAAAATTATTTTTAACTAACTTTATTGGTTATCTCTGTTGATGTTATCGATATTGGTTGAGAACAATCTACTCCTTTGGTCCTATTTACAGGGCAAAGAGAGAAGAAAAAAAAATTTGGTTTTATTTATAAGACATTTGTTAATTTTTAATGCTTCTCTTTAAATTTTTACCTTTATTAAATACTCTGAATAAAAATACCAGTAATGAGATTTAAGAATATTTATTAGAAGTAAAGGTGAAAAGTTGTTAAATTTTAAAACAAAGTTAATGAGGTTTAAAGTTTTCCTTAATTTTAATGAAATATGTTGGAAGTGACTTAGAAATAGAATAGAGGGACTATATTATTGCCACACCCAACTTTAGTGGTATTGTCTGTATTGCTATAATGCATTAATTTTATCAAGCTCATTTGAGCAAAACCAAGTTTGGGCTGAAAACAACGTTAGTTAAGATGCTGTGGGTGAGATGAATTTTTTTTAAAAAAATCTCTGGATAATATTGTATAAGCCTTTCATAGAAGTCTTGTTTGTTTCAAAATATAAGGCATTTGATAGGTTTTATATATATTGTTTTCCAATTATAGCCTTATTACTTCATTATATGTCACTTAAGTAATTAATGAATATTTTAAATAAGTCAAATATTATATTTATTCTTCTCAAAAATACAATTGAAAATATGTGAATTTTTTTAGAAAATCATTCTTTTAACCAACATTTTTTTTAAAATATCTAAATTAAGTTACTTCTTTCGTTTAAAAATGTAAAGCATTTTTAATCGAATTATACCCTCAATAAAATGGTTGGTTATTTTTAAAATAACACTATCTTTTCATATTTACCACTATTTAAAAGGGCATTTCACTTTAAAATAAATATAAAATGATTTATTTATTCAGGAAACTTTTGAAAAAATCACATTAATTACATATTGAAACACTAAAAATGTTTTATATTTTTAAACATCAAAGCTCTCAAAAAATGTTTTACATTTTTTGAATGGAAGGAATAGCTTTTAGAAGCGCTCTCTAGCCCTTATGTATAAGAGAGCTTTAAAAGTACAAGAGTGCTTACACATGGAGCACTTAAAGGTAAAGAAGAAGCATTCTTGTATATCTTTTTCGTAGTAGTGATATATGATCGTGGGTAGAGCTATCATTTAGGGCTAGCCCAACCCTAAAAGGATGGCCCTTAAAGGGCCAGGGCCTAAATAGGCTGACCTTATAAAGCCTGATTTCACTTTAGGGTTCTCTTTTGGTTGGCCCAGCCCTGACCCTTAGGGTTGAAGGGCTAACCCTTAAAGCCTTAACCCTATATATTTTTTTATTTTTCAATTTAAAATTTAAAAAACATATTTAAAATTCTAAAAATGTTATTACACATAATATTAAGTCTAGCATAATAATTTAAAACAATACACACAATAATAAATTTAAGTCTAATCAAAAGTAGCAACATTACAAAATTAACACTGATAATAATTAAACTTTACTAGCATTATCAGCTAAATCTTGATAATTTTTATTATCATCAATATCAATATAATTTGATTTTTTCCTTGTGGAGCTTCATTAGTTATTACACATAACATTTAGTTTTGAAGTGTTTATTTTTAATTAAATTTAAAAATAAGAGGGCTTCAAAGGGTTGGCCCTATCCCTTAAGGCTAGCCCTTTTATTTTTGAGTAGGGCCTGATTTATTATTTTATAGCTCAAAGAAAAGGCTTAACCCTAGATTTTTTCAAGCTTAAAAGGGCTGGCCCAATAGGTTTGGCCCTAATTAATGGCTTTAATCAAGGGGATTCTCTTTTTATATGGTTACTTGACTGAATTATATTCAAGTATTGTTAAGTCTAATTAGAGGTGGTTCTCTTAAAGCAATTTTTTTGCATTTACATGAGCTTCAACTTGAGATCTTGTGTTTAATTGGCCATAACCTTTTTTTACTAAAACCAATGTAACGCTTGTTGGTCAGAACTCTTGTTTTTTTTTTGAACATATGAATTCCACATAATTAAATTAATTACAAATAAAAGAATAACATATGTTATTTAATGATGTTAACTACATATATAAATTAAACCCATCAAAATGAGCGTTTTAATTTTAGCAAGTTCAAGTGACTAATTATTATGACCATTTCCTCCTCGACTAACCCATTACCTAGCAAGATCTCAAAGTGTTATAATTTTTAGCCTAGGAACTCAAGGCTCTGATGATTAATTAAGTTGGAGAAGATAGCGGGTCATCACAAAATCACCAGAAATTAAGGAACAGAAAAAAAAAAGATTAATGATAACCACAAAGATTAAGAAGCAAAGATAGTAATTTGACCCCATGATTAGCATTATAAAAACGTGGCACTAATCGACTCCATTCTTACTCTCCTCCTCCTCTATTAATTCTTAAAAACGAAATCCTCCCATTTTACAAAACATCGAAGTCGAATTGAATTGCAATACGTTCAAGATCGAGATACATGGCTAAGTCTTCCATATTCATCCTCTTGGCCTTGGCCGTTTGTTTCTTCTCCTTCTTCGTTTCCACACACGGCAACGACCTGAAAAACCGCTTCGTCGTGCATGGCACAGTTTATTGTGACACATGCAACGTTCAATTTGTCACTAAGATTAGCGAACCCATGGCTGGTATGTAATAAATTATTGTTATTAACAACTTTAACCATTTAGATTTGATCACCAACAAAACAATTTATGTCACTTTTTTGGATAGTTTTAGATTATGTTTTTAAGGAAGCATGCTTGGTGCCTTGGCTAGGTTTTGCCATGGTGTTCATCATTGCTATGACATCTTTGAACCAGTCAAATCCAGTTTTCATGATTCAGATTTAAAGTTTTTAATTGATGATTTTTAAATACAAAATTTGTTTTTAACATAATGATAAGAGATTATCTTTATTTTAGATTTTGTATCTACTAAAATTTTAAATTATTAGCTAACAAAAATTAGTCTAATTAATAAGGATTTAACCCATAACTCACAAGGTCACAAAATCAAGTCTCGCTTTCAAATTGAGGATCTTATTGGTAGGTGATCTATAAGTATATTTCTAAGTGCTCTTAGAGTTTGAAGACATGTTCTAACCTTGATGTTCCCTTAAAGACCCAACTCATTTAAACTTTTGTTTATAAAAAAAATTTAAATTATTAAATATATGAAAATAAAATTATATTACATCTGGACCATCCAATTTGATCTGCATGGTCAAAATTTGGTGCTCATCGCCACAAAACTCAATCCACTTGGGTTGGAAGTTTACACACAAAGGCACAACACATATTTATAAGTAAAAGATTAATGATTATTTAGCATCATACATAAACCCTAATGTTTATTATTAGTATACATCGACAAAGAGTTGTGTTACTGATGAAGTGTGAGAATGGTGAAGGTGCCAAGGTGAGACTGCAGTGTGTGGACTTTGCAAATGACAAGAACATAACGTTAAGCAAGGAGGCGACGACGGACGAGAAGGGTTCGTACAGTATCGAGGTTGATGGCGACCATGCCGAAGAAGATTGTCAGGTCACTCTCATCTCTAGCAGCAGAGACGACTGTACCAAGTTGGACAGTGACAAGCATCTGAACCAAGCTGCCAAAGTTAGCATCACCAACGACAATGGCCTCATTCACAGTCCTGATCGTCTCGCCAATGCTCTTGGCTTCATGAAGGACCAGCCTCTTGCTGAGTGTGCTGAAGTTCTTAAAGATCTCAGTTTGAACCCAGACGGCACTGAGATTGAAGATAATTCCTGAACATGAAAATTTGATCACTTTGATCCTTCCTTACTTCCTTGCTTCAAATTAAAGTTGTTTATCCTTTTGCAGTTATACGTTTGATAATAACTAGGTCGGCTCTGTGTGCGTGTTACATTAATTGCACAGAGTCTGAGGAATGAGTCGAATTTGTTATAGATTTTGAATTTTTTTATACCTATATATTGATGATGGTGCTACTGCTGTTTCTGTGGGTTTTTTTTTTATTTCTTTCCGGCTTTTATATGATTAGAGTATGAGAAAAGTATGAGTTTTGACCTTATAAAATAGGGTTTGGTTTCCATTATATTCGAAGTAGAACTTCTCCTTCATGAATGTAAATAGTAGAGTTTGAAGATTATTTTATATCCGTTGATCATGAATTCACCATGTGCTAATTCGATTAAATATTTGATTATATCATTTTAAAATCTCATAAAATAAATAATTTAATATATTAAAAAAATTATAAGAATACATTTCTACCACTAATCGATGTATGCTTGAACTATATAACACCTCTTGTGAATATTTATTTTGCTTATTTCTTTTCCTGCTATATAAGAAGAGTTTGAACTCATGATATGGTAAAGAAAACTCAAACAACCGACACAATTAGTTAGCAGAAGGGATTAACCCATCATAACGTGATAAACTAATATTTGAATCTGTAGAGAAAAAAATGTTTGCAATTAGTATTTAATCTGTATCTCAAACATAATTATCTTTGATAGGAAGACACTTATGCATAATAAAAAAAAGGCCAACTCAATAAAGTTGGATTTACTTATCACCATTGGAGTGATCAGTTTCAAAAGCGTGCTAAAAGATAGAGAAAACCAAACAGGTCATTAAGCCTTTAAAATATGGTTAAAGAGTAAATGGTCAAAATCGTTAACAAACTTGTCATAAACAAAAATATTTTATTATATTGGTCAAAATACTAATTCAATGATTTATTGGTTTGGCTGGTAGTATTGAAAAGGGTGTAATGGTGAGGATAACTTCGATAGACTTAGTGGCAGAGTTACGATTCTAAATTAAGGAATACAAGATAATTTAGTTTAAAATTTATAATTTTTAAAATATAATTTAATGATTAAAAAAAAAATACTATACTAGGCCTAAAATGGTGATAACCAATAACTTAAGCATAATGAGCATGTTTTTTTGTTAAGGTGGTGCTTTTGTAAATATGCTTTTCATATATATAGATCATTAGACAATATGATGAAATTTTAATTTCTTCTCTTGGAGGTGATGACAAATTTTTCAGAAAAATATAGCTGTTGGTCTCTATTAAGGGTAAAAATAGGTTAAGTCAAGTTTGGTTTTAGCTAAATAAGCCTGAACTTGTGTGGTAGATTAGAGGCATAAGTGTGACCTAAATTAAAAACTTGTATAAGGCTTTTTTTCTCACATCTCAGACTTAAGTCTACCTAAAATATAGTCTAACCTAAAAGCCTATTTAAAAATTTACTTAAAAGTAAGTTTTTTGAAATAGATTTACATATTAGCATTATATTTATCAAACTTGTTTAGGATTGTTAAAGCCTACATATACATAATTAACTTGATTTTTCAACTACAACATATAATAATTAAGAGAACTTACTAACTACAATACTATATAACAATAAAGTAGTAACATTAAAATCAAAGGAAAACACAATCATTAATTCTTATAGTTTTATTATTTTAAGTCCCCATAGTTTTTTTAATGTTTTCAGTCTCTATAAGACATTGAAACTATAAGGACTTAGGTAACAAATGCCACTCAATTTTGTTAAAACTATAAGAATTAAAAATATTGAAAAAAATTATGGAGACTAAAAGTAAAACATGATGAAACTATAGGGACCAATCATGATTGTGTTTTCCCAAAAATCAATATATAAGTATAATATGATTGAAAATATAACTAATAAGAAACTAGAAATAAAAAAGAATATTTTGATCAAAAATAAAATGGTGAAAGTAATATATCATTAATCAAATGTGTCATAGTTTCAGCATGTTTAAAAAAATATAGGAACCTGTTTAGCAAGTTTTGATTTAGGGGAAGAACAAGAAGAAAGGGGTTAAAGGGGTGAAGTCCATTATTTCATAATTCATAAAGTAAATATTATATATATAATATTACATATATTACATTATATATATATATATATATAATACATCACATAATAATGATAATAATAATTTATTATTATTTATATAAATAGGTTAACTTTGTTAGGCTCGTAGGCTAAGCTTGAATCTAATATGGCCTATAGTAAATAAGACGAGCTAAGTCTGAAGTAGGCTAAGCTATAAGCCTCGTGATAATAGCTAGGCCTACTTTCACCCCTAATCCTGTATATTTAATTAGCATATGTTGGTATTAGTTTGTATATTTTTTTTCCTTTCTTAAAATTTATTTGTCTATAATGCTAGTCTTTATTATTTGAGGAAGTTAAATATGCTGATGCGTACAAAACTCTATTAATTTTGTTGAGTTGGTAAAAAAAAAACCCTAATACTGATATATACTAGTATTTATGATGGATTATGACAATATGAGGGTTAACTATATTGATTAAGTGTATGCTTGAAAAGAGAAATACTTCTTCTGTTTTTATATATAAGATGTTTTTAATCAAATCACGCAAACTAATAAAAATTGATTATCTAATTAAAAACACAATAATATTTTAATTTTGCCCCTAATTATTATAAATAAAAAATGAATCTCTTTTTTAAAAGTAAATTAATGAGAATACTTATCCTTTTCTCTTTTCAATTTAATAAAAATATAATGGTTCATTCATTAAAAAATATGCTAACAACTTCTTATATTTAAAAAAAAAATTTTTTTATATGAGCACGGAGGGAGTATATTTTTAAGCCACCAACTTTTTTATGTTCATAAAAAAATAATAAACAAGTACTACCGCTTTTTCTATTAAAAAAATAATAACACGAGTGCTGCCGCTTCAATCTCACTTTCGCAGTGTTTCATTTATCGTCAAAATACCATTTATGGCTTTGGATAACATTGGAACTTGCAACATTTAATAAATACTATGAAATTAAAAAATGGAATAAATGTTACAAGAGTCTTTCATATATATATATATATATATATATATTTTAGTAGTGCATAAAGTGAGCATGTCACACCTCAAAAATAGAGGGTGACTGGCACAGGATGTGAACCATCGCACATCATTTAAGCCTTGGATCGATTAATCTTTCTATAACTAAGACCTAATTATATTTTTAGTTTGAATTAGAAACATGCATAAACATTTTTGGCATTAATAAAAGTTTTAATATTTTTATAAAAATTTTGGCAGAACCTCTTCTTTAAACAGGATCTCCCGAAAACTCTACAACACAATATTTTACACAAAATATCATATTAATTAGGAATTCAACTCCTTTCAGCCACCAAGCAAAATATGTAACAAAATAAAGGTTCTAGCTATAGACTATGTGGAGCACCTAAATTAAGCTTACAAAATAAAATTTTATAATTTAAAACATTACATCAAAAGAATACTTAATCCTTAGCTCGTCCACCTTTAGTCAGTAATAGACTCCTCAGTATTTGGCAGATGGTTCAGTGTCAGCTACACTATCTGAGACCAAAAAAATTTTCAGTGAATAATGTCCCAATAATAAATAATTAAATATGAATAAAAGCAAAGTTAAAAATAATTATGTAAGTTTAAAAAAAACAATGATCTCCATAAAGATTCAAATAAATGCGGAACAATAGAATTCTATATAACTTTAAATGAAATCTTGAACCATTAAATTATCATATCAAATATTGTCATAACTTAATTTCAAGGAAACAAATAAACAAATAAGTAATTAAAAATATATTGCTAATTAAAACAAACAAATATGAAATCATTAAATAATCAAATTCATATATATGGGACTTATCTGAAAAATTAACAAACATGGACACATTATCCACGAGGACAAATAACCAGAAGCAATTATGCTACGAAAACAGACGTGGATACACAATCCATGAGGGTAAGTAACCAAATGCAGCCAAAGCCACGAAACAAACATGGATATGAGACCCACGAATAACAGACTTGAGAATAGAGCTCACGAAAATTAAACTAGCTAGTAATTTATCATGGTGTGCCAAGGGCTAATGGAACTGCCGTTAGCAATTAATATTCTGTCTAAAGTCTCTTTAAAAATCAATTTTCAGACATGCGAGAAAATAATTATTATCAAATTAAATTTTCTCTTCTTCATATCAGATTCACATGAATTATGTAAACACCCATTCTTTTCAATGTAAAAACTTACAAACTCTCTTTTCACGAATTTTCATGATGTCCTTGTCGAATAAAGGATTACTAAAACTTGTAAAAAAAAAAAGCAAGTTGATCAATGTTGTAAGCACATAAAACTGACTTCAGAAAATAGAGTTATTCAATCAACAGAAATAATCAATGCTTATGAATAATATATACATATACAAACATATATAAATAGATAAAATTGTAAATTGTTAAAATCAATATCTTTGATGAAAAGAAACTTTGTCAATAAATATTTCGGACGTTATTCACTTACTTGAGACATTCTCTACTCCTAACCGGTCTTCTTACAACAATGTTTGCTCCTTAAATCCTAGTGCCCAAATAATAACATCGTATTTTATTTTAAAGATTTATTTTTGTACCCTTTCAACCCAAATCAATTTAGAAAAAACCACAACAATTCCCAACTTTAATTTAATTTTTTTCCCAAACATTTCATAGATATCTCAAAGACTAATATTTTGATAATCAATTGGCTCTTCAATTAATAATCAAATTACTCTTTCCAAGCAGCTCTATTTCTAACTCCACTTTCCTTATGGAGATAATTATCTTCCATGACTATTTAATTTGTGATAATATAACTATACAAATAATATATATTATATATATAATTAAATTTTATACAAATGTCCAACTCAAATAATCAAATAATAGCATCCAAACCACTTATGTTTTTCCTAGGAGTTTAATGAGATTTTAGAGGAAAATACTCATCAAATAACAACTTCTAACAAACATTTTTAACAAGTAATCTTATTGGCATCATTCCGTAGCTCAATCAATGAAACTTCTTAACATCCTATCATTTATCCAAAATTTTCCAACATTAACAATTAGATCAAATAAACAAAACTCAGCCAGCCTAGTCCTAATA